CTAGCGCCCACATCAGCTTTGGTCACAATCCCTGAAATACGATTGAGTTCTGATTTATCGTTGACGATATCAATTGCCGCTTGACTCCCAATAAAGCTTTTTAATGGAATCATTGCTGACGTTGAGAGACAGATGAGCTGAAGCTGAAGCCCCTCATTGATGACATGTGTCCCATCAATACGTTGCAAGAACACTTGATCGTTGAGTAAGCTATTACTGAACTGAATATGTAGCGCACGTTTTTGTGCTGTTAAGCCAAGCTGCTCCAAGGCAGCGTAAATATTATTAGACATACGTTATTATTTAATTCTAGATTGTGACTGACTATACTAAAAAAGTGGACAATTTGTCTATACAGAGCTGTCTATGGTTTTGATTACAGCGACAGTTTATGTCTCATTTTGTTTCGTTCTAACAGCAATCAACTCACTCTTTAGATACGATCAAATACAAAAAATAGTGTTAGGCAAAAAACCATCATGCAGCTCCCTCCTAAAAAAGGAAAGCCACTTCAACTCAAATAAAAAAATCCCAAACCCTTGGGGAAGGACATGGGACTACGATATTGCTACTCCATTGGAGTATTGGTGTAATGTATCGTGAAGTATGTTTTTTAACACATACTTAAAAATAAAATAAATATTAAATCACAAAAAGCATACAGTTCCATCTATTCCGACACACTTCCCACAATTATTAATAATCTATCTCCATAACCAAAACTGATAACTCCAATTTTAACTTACAGACCTTACACTTTGTTGTACCCCTTCTGAATACTGAATATCCTGAAAATGGTTCAAACTACAACCTTGTTGATGTGGCTCTGATTTTTTTCATCGTATTGTAAAAGACGGGATTAAACTTCGCGACTCATATTGTCGTAGATCAATTAACAACCTATTTGTTATATCACCTTCATCAGTCGCTCAAGGTGAGTAGAAAAATGAAAGTGTGCATCAACGAAGTGACTTTTTGAAATTCGCTCAGCACTAGAGGAATTTAGATCTGCGATATAAATTTTATCCAAACATGGATTTAAAGATGCTACCCAACCCACTTAAGAAAAGTGGCAGTTAAGAAGAGAGTCTCACATAGGTGCAAGAGTTTAAGAGCACGCTCTGAATAGCATACCCATTTCTATATCAGTCTAATAAGGTATCAAGAAGGATTAATGCATCTACATTTTGATGTGGGGTACATTGAGGGGTAATAGCATAGATAAAAAATAAGCCCTTGTAATAACAAGGGCTTATTTAGATATTTGGCGGAAGCGGTGAGATTCGAACTCACGGAGGACTCACACCCTCGTCGGTTTTCAAGACCGGTGCATTAAACCGCTCTGCCACGCTTCCATGTGCGCAAGAATACTAAGCTTTTCCAATTCTGACAAGAAAAAAATAGACTTAAACTATTCAAATGCATATTGTTTCATCAAAATAGATGATTTTGATTAAAGTTTAGCTGCTATTTCAGCGCCTTCACGAATCGCACGCTTTGCATCAAGCTCACCAGCCAATTTTGCACCACCGATAATATGGTAATTTGCTAAAGTTGACTCACCCTCTTGAGGCATTAAGTCCTTAACGGATTCCTGACCTGCACACACCACAATCGTGTCTACTCGTAACAATTGATCATGACCATTGCTTTCAATCCATAATCCTTCATTGGTTACAGACTTGTATTGCACGCCACGCATCATTCTTACCGCATGTTTTTTCAATTGTGCACGGTGTACCCAACCCGAGGTTTTACCTAAACCAACACCAAGAGGTGTGGTTTTACGTTGCATCAAATATATTTGACGGATCGGTTGCTCTACTTCAGCAGGAACAAAACCACCTTCAGTCATATAGTTTGGATTTGGGTCTACACCCCACTCTCGTTGCCAATCCGCCAAAGGTTGTGGTTGCGGCTGATGTTCAGGTTTTAACAAATATTCCGATACATCAAAACCAATACCGCCTGCACCGACCACAGCGACTCTGTTGCCAACAGGTGCACCACGTAATACTTGAGCATAAGACAACACTTGCGGTGCATTACTGCCTTCAATATTTAGCCCCCGTGGAATCACACCTGTTGCGATCACCACATCATCAAAACCTTCACGTTCTAATTGCTCACGATTCACTTTGGTATTTAAACGTAAGTCCACACCAGTTTTTTCAATCTGAACCTTAAAATAACGTATGGTTTCATGAAACTCTTCTTTACCTGGCACAACTTTAGCGAGGTTAAACTGCCCACCGACCTCAGTAGAAGCTTCAAACAAAGTCACTTGATGTCCACGACTTGCCGCAATAGTAGCTGCAGACATTCCCGCAACACCACCGCCAACAACCGCAATTTTCTTCGGTTTTTTTGTTTTAAGATAAACCAGTTCAGTTTCATGCGCTGCTCGTGGGTTCACCAAGCAACTTGCACGCTTATTTTGAAAACTATGATCTAAACAGGCTTGGTTACATGCAATACAAGTATTGATTTCATCAACACGGTTGGTTGCGGTTTTACTTACCCAAAAAGCATCTGCCAATAATGGACGCGCCATTTGCACCATATCAGCTTTACCTGCTGCCAAAATTTCCTCAGCAGTATCAGGCATATTAATTCGATTGGAAGCAATGACAGGAACAGCGACATGCTTTTTCACTTCTGCGGTGTAATCTACAAATGCAGCACGCGGAACAGAGGTTACAATCGTGGGAACACGTGCTTCATGCCAACCAATCCCAGTATTCAGTAAAGTAATACCTGCTTTTTCTAATGCCTGTGCAACAGTGATCACTTCATCCATGGTATTACCGTCATGGACCAAATCGAGCATCGACAAACGGAAGCAAATAATAAATTTTTCACCAACTTTGGCACGAATTGCTTTTACAATTTCGACTGCCAAACGCATACGGTTTTCAATTGGCCCGCCCCAACGGTCTTCACGTTGGTTAACATGGCGACTTAAAAATTGATTCAGTAAATAGCCTTCTGAACCCATAATCTCTACGCCATCATAGCCGGCTTTTTTTGCCAGACTAGCTGTTTCAGCATAATCTTGAATGGTTTCAAGAATCAGTTTGTCACTCATCTGACGTGGTTTAAACATCGAAATCGGTGATTTGATTGGGCTTGAAGATACAACAAACGGTTGATAACCATAACGCCCTGCATGCAGAATTTGCATCAGAATTTTTGCACCATGCTTATGTACAGCATGTGTGACTAAACGGTGTGGTGCAATATCACCTAAAGTATTCATCGTTCCACCGGCTGGCAACAACCAACCTTGGCGATTTGGGGAAATCCCCCCTGTAATAATCAGCCCAACACCACCTTTGGCACGTTCTCCAAAATATGCAGCAAGTTTTGGGTAGTTATAAAAACGATCTTCTAAACCTGTGTGCATTGAACCCATCACGACACGATTTTTAATGGTCGTAAATCCCAGATGGAGTGGTTTTAAGATATTTGCATAGCTATTTGTCATGATGAATCCTTTAAGTTTGGCTTTGCAACTTGTTGCATACTACTTTATCGAGTTTTAATTTTTTTTTGATGGCAATTTTTGATATTTTCATCGTATATAGTGTCAATTCTATCTGCTTTACCCACAACAAGAAGCAACACATCTTGATATGACTCAAATAAAAGAAAAGTGTTATACAGTTTTATAACAATCTGCTGTGTCAATTTTCGTTATTTTGCAATATAACTGCTGAATAAAAGTAAATAAGAAAAGGCATCACGTTATGAGCCACCCGGTATTTTTAACCAGTTCTACCTTTAGCCATATGCCACAAGGTAGTCAAAATCAATGGGCTGAGTTTTTTCAAAGCGCAACTTTTGAACTCGAAGCAAATGCATTCATTCCGATTTTATGGTTTATGCTGTTTAAGCAAGAAAATATTTTCTGGACAAGATATATAGATGATCTTGATATCAACGATGAACGCAATCAAATTGATCTAGAAGAACGCCAAGAGGATTTTGGTGAGAGTCAATATGCTTATTTAGTCATTGATCAACAACAAGCACTTCTCAATTTAGCAGATCGAAAACCCTTATTTATAGAAACTTTTGGTGCAGAGAACAGTTACCATTTTGAAGATTTTAAATCTTTAATCGAACAACATTATCCTGAGTATGTTTTATTGCGCACCAGTGGTTTGCCCTTGGATTTAAATGATGCCCATTTCTTAACCCAATTGTTACAACACATTGAAAATTCGGCACAAGATCATTCACAACAACTTTCTTTTATTGAAATGCAACGTATCGAGCTTGCTCGTTTTGATGATCATCCCTATTTCTTTTATGGTGTGAATCTACATGACCCTATTCACGATTTAAATACCAAAGAAGACCTGTCCACACCAGATCAAATTGACCCTGCTTCATCTCAACAACCTTTAGCAACTTCGGGGTTGGCGATTTGGATTTGTACAGCCATCGTTGCAATCTTAACCATTGCAATTTGGTTTACCACACAATCCGCACTTTATGCTGTTGTTACTTTCTTTATCAGTGCTTTTGTGCTTGGATTTATTTCTTCTAAATTAGGCGAACAGAAATAAAAAATAGCCATGCTTTTTTGCATGGCTATTTTATTTAGTCAAATAAATGAGTTCGTCATCTAGCAGTTTTTAAAAGACTGTTTATATGTGAATCACCATAAACAAACCAAATTAAAACGACTCAATATTATTACTTCCAGTATTTTAATTTACTGGTCTGCCCAATGCCGACATTAAAGCTATTGGTCGGATCAAGCTTTTGATAATGATTTTTTAAAGTAGGCTTTGCAATATACAAATGCCCTACATTGTGTTCCGCAGGATATTCTGCACCACGGTTATCCAGCAAATGCCACATTTGATGTTCCATCGCCAAAGGATCTACCCCTTTTTTGACTATATAATCTTGATGAAACACATGACAGAGAAAATGTCCGTAATACAATTTATGGGTAATTAAATCATCCATCTCTTGAGGTAAAGTTTCTACCCATTCACGGTCGTTACGGCGTAAAGCAATATCCAGCGCAACAATATCTTCAACTTCCGAACGATGCGTATCACGATAACGAATTGCTGCACCTGCCACTGCGAAACGATGTAAAAAAGCCTTACGCCCTTCTTCATCCGTACAACGGAAAAAATCACCTGATGTTTTATGTTGAAAATAATCTTTTAAAAAAAGTTCAACTTGCTCAACATCCTGATTTTCGATACGAATCATCAAATGATGTTCATATAAATCACGAAACTCATTCATCCGTTTTGGCAAATGATTGGGCAACAGTTTAGTCACCATCTGCAACACTTTATCAGACAAACTACGTAAGCCAATTTTTTCGAGATATCCATCCACTTTATCTTTTAGTGCAAATGCAGCAGGCACTTTTGCCGTACCAAATTTTTCGATAAACATGAACGTATCTTTGCCATATTCAGCACCAATATCATAGGCAACACGATGAATGTATTCACCCGCAATCGGTAATCTTGGCAAATCTTTGAGTAAGAAACGACGGATTTCCGTCAAATCATCATGTGAGTTGGTTCCCACATAAAATACCTGACTTGGAATTTTTTCAAAGGTGTCTAAACGTACTGCAAAGACACAGACTTTACCTGCAGAACCTGAAGCTTCAAATAAACGTGATGGATCAGCATTGAATCGTGCAGGTGTATTTTCATCGACCTGTTTAACATCATGCGCATAACGATGGTCAGAAGCACAACAACTCGCATTATTAATAACATCATTGAGTTGATAGTTTTTATTTTCGAGTTTTGTTAAAATTTCTTCAGGTGTTTCACCCAAATTCACACCCAAGTGATTAACCAACTCTAACTCACCAGACGCATTGACGCACGCATAAAGTGCCAGTTCAGTATATGCAGGACCGCGGCGAACCAATGCTCCACCTGAGTTATTACATATTCCACCTAAAACCGATGCACCAATACAAGATGATCCAATCACTGAGTGCGGCTCACGATTATAGTGTGCCAACTCTTTTTCAAGACGATCTAAGGTTGCACCAGGTAAGCAAATCACTTGCTGACCTTGGTTAATCACTTGTATACCCGCCAAACGACGTGTACTCATTAAAATAACGGGTCGGTCGTAATCATCACCAAAAGGTGTTGAACCACCCGTAAGGCCAGTATTTGCAGCTTGCATAATCACAATACAGTCCGCATTTACAGCAGCTTGTAGCACTTGCCATTGTTCAAACAAAGTTCCGGGAACCACAACAGCCAGCACTTGCCCTGAGCCATAACGACGCCCCTGACGATACAAGCGGGTAGCATGATCATGGGTTAAAACGTGTTGCTGACCGACGATGTTGATCAATTGCTGAATGGTGTGTTGTGAATCAATATTAGATTGCATTTTCCCTATCCTATTGATGAACCCTTATTCAATCTCATTCAATAAGGCATTCATTCCGACAGCGTTTTTCAATATTATTTGTATTGAGGGATCAACGATCAGTTCAATCTACTTTTTTTGCTGAAAAGTAGATTGAACCATGCTTATCCGCAAAACTTGTTAAATCACATCTTTTCATTTGATGCTTTGCAAATACATCATGTTATAAGGTCGTTCTGCCTCAAAACACTTCAGATGAAATTTGCATGGATGACATTTGCGTCTATCAAATTGAACACTGTCATTTAGCTTGATGACGTATCAAAAATACATCACGCATCCAATGCTTTGTCTAACTTGACTAAACAATCGGCGTTAATGTCAGCAATTGTTTTGGCGCCCGTCAAAGTCATTGCGACACGCATTTCTTTGTCAATTAATTCAAGCAGATTTGAAACGCCTGCGCCACCCGCTGCCCCTAATGCATAGACAAAAGCACGTCCGAGCATGCAGGTATCTGCACCCAATGCCAGCATACGAACCACGTCCAAACCATTACGAATACCAGAGTCAGCAAGGATTTTAATATCCCCTTTGACGGCATCTGCAATTGGCGGAAGCGCACGCGCAGATGATAAGACACCATCTAACTGACGACCACCATGGTTTGATACAACAATACCATCGGCACCGAAACGTACTGCATCTTTGGCATCTTCAGGATCAAGGATCCCCTTAATCACCATCGGGCCATCCCAAAATTCACGAATCCACTCAAGGTCTTTCCATGAAATAGACGGGTCAAAGTTATTGCCCAACCAACCGATATAATCTTCAAGTCCAGTCGGCTTTCCTAAGTATTTGGAAATATTACCTAAATCATGTGGACGACCCAGCAAACCGACATTCCAAGCCCAATGCGGATGGAAACACGACTGCATGTAACGACGCATCGCTGCATTTGGACCACTCATACCAGAATGTGCATCACGATAGCGCGCACCAGGTACAGGCATATCAACAGTAAACACCAAAGTTGAGCAGCCTGCAGCTTTGGCTCGCTCTAAAGCATTTTTCATAAAGCCACGATCACGCAGCACATATAACTGAAACCACATTGGGCGGTTAATTGCTGGTGCAACTTCTTCAATCGGACAAACAGACACGGTCGACAAGGTAAAAGGAATGCCCTTTTTATCTGCCGCCACAGCAGCTTGAACCTCACCACGACGTGCATACATACCTGTTAATCCAACAGGAGACAATGCAACTGGCATAGATAAAGTTTCATCAAACAATTTTGTTTCTAGGCTTAACTGAGACATGTCATTTAAAACACGTTGCCTTAAAGCGATTTTTGATAAATCTTCTACATTTCGTTTTAGTGTATATTCCGCATACGCACCACCATCAATATAATGAAAAAGAAATGGTGGTAAACGACGTCGCGCGGCTTCACGATAGTCATTAGCAGAAGAAATAATCATGCTCATATCCTGTTTAATCGGCTCGCACGCTGACGACGGGCTTCTTCCTCATCAATCATACGCACTTGCTGTACTACAAATTCTATATGTCCACAGACCGCATCTCTTGCAGCATCTGGATCATGACGTTCAATTGCATCCATCACTTTAAAATGCTGATCATGCAATTGATCAAATCGATGTGTTTCTGAGTACACTTTGCGTCTACCCAAGAGCACGTTGAACTGCAACAGATCAAAAACGCCCCGCATCATCTGTATCAACACTAAATTGTGCGATGCTTCAGCAATCGCCAAATGAAATTTAGCATCGGCAAGTGAAGCTTGCTCATCATCACCAATCGACTGAAAATATGAAATCTGATCATAATATTCGCGAATCTGAGCCAGATCTTTAGGTGTTGCACGTTGTGCCGCATACCAAGCTGAACCACCTTCAAGGATTGTTCGCGCCTCCTGCACATCAAAACGATATGCTGGGTCTTCATCAATCAAATTACTTAAAGATTCAACAATCTGGTTTTGCGACCAGTTCACCGGGAATTGTTGTAAATAGGTCCCCGCCCCGCCTTTACTGATCAGCATTCCGGTACTGGTCAGTTGAGAAATCGCTTCTCTTAAAGAGGAACGGGATACGCCCAGTTGTTCACACAACTTTCGTTCAGCAGGTAAACGTTCTCCGACTTGCATGTTTTTTTCTTCAATTAACATACGAAGGCTTTGTACCACTTTGTCAGAGACTTTCATCTGCTTTCCTCATTCAGTGACGTTTTATGCTCATGGAATCATCCATGGGAACACATAAGCTTGTAGTGTAATAATAATACCGATCATTACAGTAAACGTTATACTGTGTTTAACCGTAAAACGGAACAGATCAGACTCTTTACCTACCAGCCCCACCGCCGCACATGCAATTGCAATCGACTGAGGAGAAATCATTTTCCCAGTGACACCACCACTGGTATTTGCAGCAACCAGTAATACTTCTGGGACACCAATTTGTTGCGCAGTCGTGGCTTGTAATGCCCCGAATAAAGCATTTGCAGAAGTATCCGAACCTGTAAGGAATACACCTAACCATCCTAAGAATGGAGAGAAGAATGTAAATGCTTGCCCCGTATGTGCCAATGCCAAAGCCAAGGTTGCAGACATTCCTGAATAGTTAGCAATAAAAGCAAATGCCAACACCATCCCAATCGAATAAATTGGAATTTTTAATTCATTAATGGTTTCAGCAAAAGTAACCACTGCTTCTTTTGGCTTCATTTTTAAGAAAATAATAGTAATGATTGCAGCAATAATAATTGCGGTACCCGTTGCTGAGAACCAATCAAATTTATAAATTGCATCATAGTCTTTTACTTCAGCAACAACAGGTGGCATCTTTTGAATCATTTGATGCAAATATGGCACTTTGATAGAAATCACTAAATCATGCAGTGCACCATCTTTGGTAAATAAATCCTTAAATGGCTTTACACTCCAGATCGTAACCATCACTGTTAAAATCGCAAATGGAGACCACGCTTTGGCAATTTGAGCAAGGCTATATTTCTGCTGTTTTTGTGCAGCAAGATTCTCGCTCATGCTGTCATCTTCATTTGCAAAACGGAAGATATGCTTTGGCTGCCAATATTTTAATAAAATCGTTAATGAAACTAAAGACGCAATTGAAGCGGTAATATCTGGTAATTCTGGCCCCACAAAGTTTGAAGTCAAATATTGTGCTAGCGCAAAAGAACCACCACCGACAATCACAGCAGGCCAAGTTTCTTTTACACCACGCCAACCATCCATAATCGCCATGATCCAGAACAGCACAATTGGAACCATAAATGGCAACTGACGTCCAACCATCTGACTGATTTCCATTGTTTCTACACCAGAAACCTGTCCAGCCACAATAATTGGAATCCCCATTGCACCAAATGCCACAGGTGCTGTATTCACAATCAAACATAGACCCGCCGCATAAAGTGGTTTAAAACCAAGCCCCACCAATAACGCAGCGGTAATCGCAACAGGTGCACCAAAGCCAGCCGCACCTTCCAAGAAAGTACCAAAAGCAAAACCAACAAAAAGCATTTGCAGACGTTGGTCTTCCGTAATCGACAAAATCGAAGAACGAATAATATCGAACTGCCCTGTTTTTACTGAAACTTTATATAGGAATACTGCGCCAATAATGATCCATGCAATTGGCCATAAACCATAAAAGAAACCATAGACCAATGATGCCAATGCCATCACCGTTGGCATTTGATAAGCAAATAATGAAACCAGTAAAGCCAATACAACTGTAATTGTCCCCGCAACGCTTCCTTTCATGCGGAATACAGCAAGGGCTAAAAAGAAAAAGATAATTGGTATCAGCGCAATGGCACTGGATACCCAGATATTGCCCATCGGATCATAAATCTGTTGCCAATGTTGAAGCATTGTCATCTCCTTGAAATGCTTGCTAGAACGTGGAATGTCATTGAATCATCCATTTATTTCTCAATAATTGGTATGACCAATTTAGTTTTAAATTAAAAAATTTTGCACTAACTGCTACTTAATATTAATTTTTGCTGATTTAAAGATCAATAGTTGGCACTCAATTAATTATTTTGGTATGACCAATATTGCAAATATTTCGACCTATTCACAGACCAATCCTTCAGCTTTCAGGGTTTCAAATCGAATAACTCATTTGTTTTATATTGTATTTTTTTAAATTAAACCAATTTTATACAACTTTAGTCGTATGCTATTTTTTAATGCACTTTTTAGTAACACTGATTTAAGTTTATTATCGGGTTTGGAAATACTTCAAAACCAAAATTAGTCAGACCAATTTAAAAATCAGTTAAATAAGCGTAAAGGCATCGTATTAAACAAAAAATATAAAAAAAAGCAAAATCAATGAACTTTCACTGATTTTGCTTTTTACTTTAATTGAAAAATTACATAAAAATTTAATTAACTATAAATTAATTCAACAATGTCCACTCATTGATTTAACGATGCTCACAACTTAACAAGGTTGCAGGTTTTTTCTTGATTTTAAGATTTAAAGAACTTGAAATAATTCCTGAACAAATAAACGCAGCACCGATAATAATGTTGATTGTAATCGGCTCATGCCAAAGCACATAACCAAAAAATAAACTTAGAATAGGAATACACATGATTGAAATAGACGCAACAAAGGTATCTACCTGACTCACAATCCAATTCCACAAGGCAAAGGCAAAACCAGTTCCAATCACAGCAATATAGAACAGGATTGAATCATTGAGCGGATTCATCCAAACTTTAACATCTACAGGTTCAAAAATTAAAGCGCCGATCAGAATCACCACCCCACCCATCAGCAATTGCCAAAAGGTCAATTTGATTTTGTCATAAGTTGCAAAATTCTGTTTGATATAAACTGTGGTTAAAGCCCAGAAGAAGCCTGACAAGATTAAGAAAGCTTGACCAATTAACGATAAATTCAAATGAATATGATGTAATTGTGGCCAAAGAATCGCAATCAAGCCCAATGTGCCAAGAACCAACCCAATCATTTTTTGGCTATTTAAACGCTCATTTAAAATATAATGCGCCAATACACCAATAAAAATAGGCATAGTAAACACTAAAACCGCAGACAATCCCGAATCAACAAATTGCATGGCAAAGGTTTGTGTTGCATAAAAACCAATACAAATCATCAAACTTGAGATCATCAGTTTTCGCCATTCACCTTTTGCGGGTAAAACGGATTTTCTTAACAGTACTTGAACCAACATAAGGGTAAGCGCAGCTAAGATTAAACGCGTAGAAATAAATAAGAATGGCGGAAATATTTGCAAACTATGTTTGACCAATCCCCACAAAGATCCCCAGACGAGACACAATAATACAATTGCACCAATCACACGAAGATTCATTTGCTGTACTCAACAGATGGAAAGTTCGTAAATTATAGAAAATAAATGACATCATGAATAATGCTATGTTTTAATGTACACATCATTTTTTTTGATATTAAAGTGGATACTTTAATGTCAGCACTTATTCAATGCATTATTGAGGAATTGAAATGAATATCGATATGGGTGATATCAAATCATTTGTGACTGTTGCTGAACTAAAAAGCATTACAGCAGCAGCAAATAAACTCAATTATTTACAATCGAATATGACAGCAAAAATAAAAAAGATTGAAAATCACTATAAACGTCAATTATTCATCCGAAAACCCAAAGGTGTTGAACTGACCGAATCAGGAATGAATTTATATCAGCAATACAAAAAAATGATCTTCACATGGGAAGAAACAGAAAATAAAATCTATCAGCAGGAAAAATATTTACGCTTTGGTACCAACACCAGTTTAGGCGGAATGCGTTTCTACCCGTCTTTTAGCCAACTTTATGAAACCTACCCTGAGCTTTCAATCACCATGAAAACAGGTGCTACAGGCTATATTGAAGATGAAATTTTACGCGGAAACCTAGATATCGCTTATGTTTTAGGTCACCCAAAACAGAAAAATATCCAGTATATTCAAAAGGCAGATGATCAATTGGTGATTATCGGAAAAAATGTCATCAACCATGACAGCCTTGAAGACTGTCTCAATCATCAAAATATTTTACTTGCCTCAGAAGAATGCTGTTATGCAACCACTTTAGATCATATTTATACAGACTATCATTTAACCAAGGGTGAATTAACCCATATTTATGATCATGAAGCCTTAGTCAATTTCACTCAGTTGGGTATGGGAATTTCAATGATTGCAAAGTCACTGATCAAAAAATTTAATATTCAATATTATCGAGAAACACCCGAACAATATCGAGATATTGGATTCTATCTGATAGCCCGAAGTGAACATGTATTTACCCCGATTGAAAAGCAGTTTATTGGTTTAAATGATCAACTATGATCTCAAACGAATCAGATATATTGGGTTAACCCTATACATCCAATTTATCTTACTTTTAACATAGGTCAATCCGCAGCTTGCCATTTGGCCTTACACACATTCAGCAAAATCAGCAGCCCTATACAAGTACCTATTGGAAATCCAATCAAGAATAAACACCCAATAATGGTAGACATCAATCTCCCTATTTCACTACCCTTTTCAACTTCTTATTAAATTTCACACCTCTTTAATTTGACTTTTCTTATAAGTTTTACCTGAGGTGTATAAGTCATTTAAGTAAATTAATTTTGCTCTATAAATTGTCATTTTTTCAATGTTAACCTTCAAATCCAATAAAACATTGATTGAAAAAGTGCTACAATACTGCGTTTATAAAATTCTCTTTGGCCACCCATGTATGTGGTGCCTCTTTCGAAATAGTTAGGACGAGCAATGACTGATAATGCAACGATCTTGCAGAATGTACCAGTAGGCAAAAAAGTGGGTATCGCCTTTTCTGGTGGTCTAGATACTTCAGCAGCTTTATTGTGGATGAAACAAAAAGGCGCAGAACCTTATGCTTATACAGCAAACTTAGGTCAACCTGATGAAGATGACTACGATGCAATTCCGCGTAAAGCTGAAAACTACGGTGCTGTAAAAGCCCGATTGGTTGACTGCCGCTTACAACTTGCATTGGAAGGTATTGCTGCAATTCAATGTGGTGCATTCCATATCAGCACTGGTGGTGTTCCTTATTTCAACACAACACCATTAGGTCGTGCAGTAACAGGTACAATGCTTGTTACAGCAATGAAAGAAGATGATGTTAATATTTGGGGTGATGGTTCAACCTATAAAGGGAACGATATTGAACGTTTCTATCGTTATGGTTTATTAACCAACCCTGCACTTAAAATTTACAAACCTTGGTTAGATCAGCAATTTATTGATGAATTAGGCGGTCGCGCTGAAATGTCACAATTCTTGATCGACAATGGTTTTGATTACAAAATGTCGAAAGAGAAAGCCTATTCAACAGATTCAAACATGTTGGGTGCAACTCACGAAGCGAAAGATCTTGAATACCTCAATGCAGGCATCAAAATCGTTGAGCCAATCATGGGCGTTGCGTTCTGGAAAGAAGACGTAAAAGTTGAAGCTGAAGAAGTTTCTGTAACGTTTGAAGAAGGCTTCCCTGTTGCATTAAATGGCAAACGTATTGAAGACCCTGTTGAATTCATCCTTGAAGCCAATCGCATTGGTGGTCGTCATGGTCTAGGTATGTCTGACCAAATCGAAAACCGTATTATTGAAGCAAAATCTCGTGGCATCTATGAAGCTCCGGGAATGGCGCTTCTTCATATTGCTTATGAACGTCTTGTAACAGGTATTCATAACGAAGACACTATTGAACAATATCGTATCAATGGTTTACGTCTAGGTCGTTTATTGTACCAAGGTCGTTGGTTCGATTCGCAAGCATTGATGCTACGTGAAACAGCACAACGCTGGGTTGCTAAAGCAATCTCTGGTACTGTGACTTTAGAACTTCGTTGTGGTAATGACTACACGATTATGAACACTGAATCAGAGAACCTCACTTATGAAGCTGAGCGTTTAACCATGGAAAAAGGTGATTCAATGTTTAGTCCTGCTGACCGTATCGGCCAATTGACTATGCGTAATCTTGATATCACGGACACCCGCGCAAAACTTGGTATTTATACCAATACTGGTTTATTGGCTGTCGGTACAGGATCTGCGATCCCTCAGCTGAAAGACAAAAATAAATAATTTTTGATGAAAAACAAAACCGCCAAATTTGGCGGTTTTTTTAGCTTTAGCCTTAATGACTTTTCATTAAAGATTGCTTATCAAGACACTGCATTCTTAGTTTCAGGCTGCGATAAGTTTTGCTGCTCTAATTTTTGCTGTTGTTTTTGCAACTCAATCTTTTCGGCGTGTTCTTGGCGAATTTGATCATATTCTCGTTTGGTTTCAGCATCACTTTTAGCCGCAAGAAAAGCCATTCCAACTAAAAATACTGGAAATAACAATGCTAATGTCGCAAAGATATAAAATTTTTTCGAACTTGTCTGTGACATAAATTCAAGGCTTTCAATAAATTTAACTGGGCTTGTTAATATAACAGAATATTTCCATCCAATACATTACTCACCTACAGCCATAGGATTACAATCCCCTATTTATTTAAAGCGAAAAATTTAACTAAAAAGCATATTACCTTGTGATTCAGAAGCCTAATCAATCACTTTCACCAGTACTCTTCATCAATTAAATTATTCTTATATTGCATTCATTTCCCAAACTGCTTTAATAAAAGCTAATTTAATAAAAACCAGTTGCCCATAAAACAAAAACGGGCTAAGCAAATTTAAAAACAATTAACGATTCTTTGTTTGTTTATAAGCTTCTTGCGCTATAGCCAAGCTTTTCTTTTTGCCTTCAACTGTATCTGGAATCTCATTAGATGTTCCATTACCAGAATGGCGTTGCAGGTGTTGCTGTTGAGAATACTGATGCATTTCAGACTGAGTTTTTTGTTGCTGTATCGAAGTTTGGTTTGCAGTTCGTTGGGTTAATTTTTGTTGGAGTTGTTGCTGTGGATTTACAGTAGCAGTTCCAGCACAAGGTCTAGATTGGTAAGTTACCGAACCTTTTACCACACATTTGTGTACGTCTTTAGCAAATACATGATGAGAAATCCCTAAAGCTAAGATAACCAACAATACTTTTTTCACAACCAACACTCCATTTAAGTCTCAACAAAATATCAACAAATGATTTAAATTGCTATTTACACAGGAGTTTTCTTATTCACAGAAGTTTTCATCTACAATTAAGGTATAAATATGACTTTTTTTGCCAAGTTTTACAGCATTTTGTCATAGTTCAAATCATTCAGTTTCAAGATTTAATTTGAAGGTTTTTAAGTGATTGCTGAACAATAAAACCATGAACCAAAGAAACAGGCAGCATATAAATTTTCCCAAAAAGATTATATGTTACTACACTGGTACATATCGTTAATTCATTTCTAAGTCCATCATATTCTTCGATTTGTAAAACCAGCAATACACTCAAGTGCTTATCGGTTGACTGTAAAAAAAGCTCACGATCTGAGACTTTAACCACATCAAAAAAATCTGCTTTCCCACCCACTTGAAGCGGTTTAGTTGATTCACCAAAGCCTTGAATAGGTTGCACACCACCTAAACGCTGGCTTAAAAAATCTCTTAGCTTAAACGCAGCCCTCAACCAAACTGGCGGCTTACTGGTCATTAGATAATAGGCTTGAGTACTGGTAAGATTTTTATCAATATATTGCTTGGCTTCGTGTAAAAAATTTAATTGATCAAGCGGAGCAACCAAAGTTTGTGGATCTCTTTCTATATTCAATCAATCAGCCCCTTAAAATATAATTAATATTTTTTCAAACAACCGCTAAAAACAGTCTACAGTAATCAGTTATTGGTGCAATTACTCACAGCCTAAAGTTTAAGAAATATATAATCGACCTGTCAAAAAAGCTTAGACACAAGAACATAATTCCCCTTATTCAATATTTTCAATTAAATCAATCTCATGGATAAACAAATTATTTAATTATAAAAAGCTTGCACTGCCACACCTTACATTCAAAGTTTAAATACCTTTGCGTAGGGGATGCCAAACCTTGCGCTGCAAACAAAGCAGTGCTTTGTTTTTGCTCATAGGCGAGGGGTACGTCCTGTACCCCCGCCCAACGGCGACATCCATGTCGCCACACAGTAGGATCACCATCTAGGATTCAAAAATCCAAAAAATGAATTGATAACTAACAGTTTATAAAAGTTATTAAAAAACATAAGCTTAATTTATACTCAATGACTTAATAAAAGTCACTTGTATGAATAATTAAGTAGTTTGAATACAACAAAAAGGTCTGCACTTGGCAGACCTTTGATTATACTGACTTTAGTGCGTCTATCTTTTAATTAGCTATCCATGTTATCAATGATTGCTTGACCGAATTCAGAACAGCGGAGCAAAGTTGCACCTGGCATCAATCGCTCAAAGTCATAGGTGACAGTTTTCGCAGCAATCGCTCCCGATACGCCCTGAATAATCAAATCAGCAGCTTCAATCCACCCCATATCACGAAGCATCATTTCCGCAGAAAGAATAATAGAGCCTGGATTGACTTTATCTTGGCCCGCATATTTTGGTGCTGTACCGTGAGTCGCTTCATATACAGAAATTGCACCACCAATATTTGCACCCGGCGCAATTCCAATACCACCTACTTCAGCTGCCAAGGCATCAGAAATATAGTCACCATTTAAGTTAAGTGTCGCAATCACAGAGTATTCAGAAGGACGCATTAAGATTTGTTGAAGGAATGCATCGGCAATCACATCTTTAATAATGATCTCTTTACCCGTTCTTGGATTTTTAATTTTTACCCACGGGCCACCATCAATCAGCTCGCCACCAAAACGATCAATTGCCAGTTCATAACCCCACTCTTTGAACGCGCCTTCGGTATATTTCATGATGTTGCCTTTATGCACTAAAGTTACACTTGGCTTATCATTATCAATCGCAAACTGGATCGCTTTACGCACTAAACGCTGAGTACCTTCTTTCGATACAGGTTTAATACCAATCCCACAGTTATCTTCAAAACGAATCTTGGTTACACCCATTTCTTCTTTTAAGAATTTAATGACTTTTTTCGCTTCAGGAGAATCCGCTTTCCATTCGATACCTGCATAGATATCTTCGGAATTTTCACGGAAAATCACCATGTCAGTCAATTCAGGGTGTTGAACAGGTGACGGTACTCCTTCAAACCAACGTACAGGGCGTACACAAACATAAAGGTCGAGTTCTTGGCGTAAAGCGACATTCAATGAACGAATACCACCGCCCACAGGCGTAGTTAATGGACCCTTAATCGAAACCACAAATTCCCGCAGCGCCTCAAAAGTTTCTTCAGGCATATAGGTACCGTAGATTTTATCTGCCTTTTCACCACAGTAAACTTCCATCCATTCGATCGAACGTTTGCCACCATAGGCTTTTTGAATTGCGGCATCTACAACAGCTTTCATGGCTGGAGTAATATCAACACCAATACCATCCCCTTCAATAAAAGGAATGATTGGATGATTTGGAACATTCAGTGACAAGTCTGCATTTACAGTAATTTTGCTACCATCAGCAGGTACTACGATCTTCTGATAACCCATTGTTCAGGTTCTCCCTTTTATTATAGTTGGCAAATCCAAAATAATTGCCAAATAGACAATACTTCTAACCATTCTTAACGCATATCAGTCTAGTCTAATTCGTACATTTTTTGAGATTTATACGAGGAATAACAACATTTCTCTACTGAATAAAGCACAATGTTCCATTATTTAATGTCATTTAACCCATCTTTTTTTATATAAATCAATATTCTCAATCATTCCTAATGCTTAAAATAAAAATATTAGCCTTGCTTTTCCATGCACATAAATTTTCCAAGAGTCGATCTTTAAAAGTGAGAGCTACTATACATTTTCACTATAAACATTATTTCTAATTTTTTGATTTTATATTCGCCATTTAATTTAAAAATCTATAACATTTTGACAATAGATTGATGACCAAACCAGCCACCTTAAAACCACAATATATTCATATATTTCATTGCATTAAATTATGCACCACAATAGATCACAAACAAAAAAACGTAATTTTATTTTTATTATTGGTGTTTTTTGCCATTGCTTTATATTTTAAAAAAATAATTTTCACAAAACCACAATAAAGTTAAGATTAATTACAAAAGTAATTCACTTTTACTATATGTTTTCACATGAATTTTAATGAAAAAATAAATCAAAATTCATTTTTTAATTCCTTCTGCCTATCCCATGACCTCTAATCAAATTAACCATCTTTGCAATTATTATTTAGTCTTAAAATCTTTAACATTATTCCTGTTTTTTAAATCGTAATGAATTTTGAATTCATTGCGATTCAACCTATCTCATGGATGTAAATAATGGATAAAACTTACACTAAAGAAGAGAAGCGAGGTCGTATACGCGGTATCGTCGGCGCAGCTTCAGGAAACTTAGTAGAATGGTTTGATTTTTATATTTATGCTGTGTTTGCGGCATATTTCACTAAAGCATTAACTGCACCTGATATGGACTCCGGTACTCAAGCAATTTATGTATGGGGTGTCTTTGCAGCCAGCTTCTTTATGCGACCAATTGGTAGCTGGGTTTTCGGACGAATTGCCGATAAACATGGCCGTAAAAAATCAATGGTCATTTCCATCTGTCTTATGGCAGTAAGCTCTTTCTTATTTGCCGCACTCCCAACCTATGAACAAGTTGGAATGGCAGCACCTTTCCTACTTTTACTTGTTCGCCTGCTACAGGGTTTATCTGTAGGTGGTGAATATGGTGCTGTAGCAACCTATATGAGTGAGCTTGGCTTAAAGGGTCAACGAGGCTTTTTTGCTTCTTTCCAATATGTCACCTTGTCGGGCGGTCAATTATTAGCAAGCTTGCTCGGTGTTATTATGCTGGCATTCCTATCAGAGCAGCAATTGCTTGATGGTGGCTGGCGTATTCCTTTTGTGATTGGTGGTATTGCTGCAATTATCTCTCTACTTGCACGTAGCCGTTTGGAAGAAACATTATCTAGCGAAGACAGTGATAAAGAGGAATCAGGAAGCTTAAGTGAACTATTTAAAAATCACTGGAAAACCTTCTTATTGGTTGTAGGTTATACCTCTGCGGGTTCCCTCACCTTCTATGTGATTACAGTATATTCAAAGACCTACCTCACCAATATGGGTGTAGATAGTAAAACTGTCGGATTCATTATGACAGCTTCACTCTTTATCTTTATGCTTGCACAACCTGTGTTTGGTGCTATTTCGGACCGCATTGGTCGTCGTGCTGCAATGCTTGCGTTCAGTGGTACTATGGCTATTTTCATCTATCCAGTCATGGTGATCTGGATGCCACATTTCAGTTATTCACCATTGATGGTTGCT